GAGAGAGAGGAGAGAGAGAGAGAGATTCTCTGAATCCATAGGACAATCGGGTGCATAATATTTATCTACCAGACCATGTTTGACTCTTGGCAATGCGCATTTTCCAGGAGCTTGAGGTTAAGGGGTTGATGTTGGCTTTGCGAAAAGAGTTGCGCAATAGTGATGTTGGTAACCTTGGGAGGATTGTACTGCCAAAAGTATGTGAATTTGCATATGCTTGCTTATTGATCTTTTCCTTTCATGCTTTTTTTCTTGGCTTGCTTGGTCTGCTTTTCTACGTACAGCTAGATATTTTTTTGTTGTTGTTGAGTAGTTTAGTTGTGACTTAACGAACCAGAGGTCTGTGATATGGAATTTTATATTAGAAAGCTCCCCTTACCTATTATGGTTTTTGTTACATAATGGTAGAAGGATGCAGAGGCGAATCTTCCCCTGTTAACTGAAAGAGAAGGACAGATTTTGCATATGGAAGATATGGATTCTTCAGCTGTATGGAAGTTCAAATTCAGGTATATTTTGTGATACATGGGGAAAATTTTTGTTTTCAGGTTTCAATTAGAAGTACTCCCAATAGGAAGAATGGGCAGAAGTCTTTAAACGTCACATGCCTCTTTGAAAATGTCTTTAAGAAATTTGATCACCTATATATATTCATTACCAGTAAAATAATTCAGTAATTGGTAACTATTTAAGTTATTTTCTTTACTCAATGGTTGCTGTCCAATTCAAATAATATCTGCTGATTATTTCATTCTCGGTCAGTAGTAGTTTGGGCATAGATGATTTCAGAAGGTGTTTTTCTTTTTTAGCATCATCTCAAAAGTGTCTGTTTTGATCCTTTACTATTCTGTTCCCAGGTGGTTTCTGAGTGTTTATCTAAATTTTGCAGATACTGGCCAAACAATAAAAGTAGAATGTATGTTATGGAGAATACAGGTAAGAGGAACAAGAACCTGTGTAAACTTTGCAACATCAGTGCAGTAATACATTGGATTGAAAACGAATATAAAACAATGTTTGTTACACATTCATCTCTTTACACCTTCAATCCTCTGACTTGTTTTGTCTCAGGAGATTTTGTAAAAACTCACTGCCTTGGAACTGGTGATTTTTTTATTATATACAAGGATGAAGCCAGAGAAAAATATGTGAGTTAAATTTTCCTTCTAGGATTTTCGATTAATTTATTCCTATGTATGCACATGCTAGTGTGATATGTGTGGTTTTATATCTGTTTCTATGTCGTGTATTTATTGATTTGTTTCAGTTGTTTATCTGTTAATTCCTTTGCATGGGCTTGTGTGTCTGTGGGGGCTGTGTGTGTTGTGGTGTGTGTCTGTGTGTGGTTTGATTGATATGATTTTTTTGGGGTGCGGAATTAAGGGTGCAAAGTTTATATTTAGGGCAATGGCTGGTCTTTGTTTCAAGTTGACTCTTATGTTTTCTACAATTGTCAGTTTCAACGTAATCGGAGCCCATTTTAAGGAATATCTGGCCTATCAAATTGGTGAATTTCCAGAATAATGCATATGGTTTGCACATGCTGTTTACGGAAGTGCTTTGGCAGATGGGTTTTGGGAAAGGAGTAGATTTTATCTTTAGGCTTAGGTTTTATGGTCTCCCTTTACCTTATTGATGGATTGACCATAGTAAACAATACTTTGTTTTAAACCCATTTTTTAATGGACAATCAGTGTTTGAATGATTGACTTGGGCTGAGTACTCGGCCCAGGCCCAAGCCAAGTACTTGGGCTGAGTTTGGGCGAAGCCAAAAAGTGTTTAAAAAAAACAAAACATCAGGAAAAATATGTTTAAAGTAAAATTAAACAAAACACATGTAAATGAGGTTAAAAAGTAGTGAAAAAATAAATTTCTTATTTTGAAAAAAAAGAATTTGTGATTGGGGTATTTAGAAAAAAATCCAAAAAGAAGGAAAATGTAAAAATTAAGTATTCTTGGCCAAAACACTTTCCAATCTTAGCCAAATGATAGAAAACATAAAAAACATATACTATGAATAGGTTTCTTTTTTTTATATATATAATTTATTCTCTTTTTTTTTAGGGGAAATATCCTCGTACCCTTTATTTTTGGTTTTCATATATCAATAGATACAAAGATTCAAAATATATCTCCTAACCCCTTGAATAACTTTACCCACTTTTAACAATTTTTTAGCCCTAACAAATATAAAAAAAACATGCTCATTTTAAACACTTCCTCTCTTTACGTGATATATTCTCTCCAAATTTATCTCCCTCTAACATTCACCCTCTTTGTCTCTCTAATGGGGGAGAGAGAGTGGAGAAATAGGTAGAGAGAGATTTGGGAGAAAATCACGTGAAGAAAGAAATGATGGTGTTTAGAAAAGATATATTTTTTTTATATTTGTTTGGGGCAAAAAAATAGGTTTAAAGAGGAAAAAGTTGACTTAGGGGTTTAAAATATATAAAATTTACAATTTTTATGACTCAAGATATTTTTTGAAACCTTGGGTGTATTGAGATACAAAACTTAAAAATGGGGGGCATGGAGATAGTTTTCTTTCTTTTTTTAATATCCCCGAGTTTGATACTAGGGTGGCAAGTCCAAGTTGCTTGGGCGAGACCGAGCTGCCTCCCCTAGTAATCAAACACTGGACCATCTTAATTTTCTACAAAATTTTTTAAGATATCTGATTTTCCAAATAACTCATTTTTTTTAGGAAATGAAATTTGTTCTATGATATCATACTTTGAAGGGAAAAATTTATATAAAGCCGAGGCTCTAAACAATCAAATAAGAGCCTACCTCAAATATTGCACTAGAAGAGGTTGTTTTGATGCCAAAATATTCTCAAATTGATCATCTCGACATCAAGATGCACGGGCATGAAAAAAAATTGGATTTCAAGTTGTGGAAATAGTGTATTTTGTAATGCATTTTTGAACCGTCAATTTTCAAGATTTTCAAGTTTTCATTGATCTGTTGATTTACACTATTTTTGAAGCTTTAAACTTTATAATTAAAGATGCTAATATATTTTAAGGCTATCACATAGATTTTCAGTATTGAAACCACGGCTCTAATTTGATTGTTTAGAGCTCTATACAAACTGTACCCTTGAAAGACTTAATATAACCATTTATATAAGGGAAGAGTTTATATAGAGCCAAGGCTCTAAACAATCAAATTAGAGCCCACCTCAAAAATTTCACTAGAAGAGGTTGTTTTGATACCAAAATATCCTCAAATTGATCATCTCAACATTAAGATGCGTGGACATGAGAAAAATATGGATTTAAAGTCTCGAAAATAGTGTATTTTGTAATGCATTTGTGGACCGTCAATTTTCAAGATTTTCAAGTTTTCATAGATCTGTTTGATGTACACTATTTTTGAAGCTTTAAACTTCATAAATAAAGATAAAATATATTTTGAGGCTATCACAAAGATTTCCAGTATTGAAATTACATTTCTCGACACTATTTGATGGTAGGCTCTAATTAGACTGTTTTGAGCTTAGGCTCTACACAAACCGCACCCTTTATATAATTGCCTTGAATTTGTTCATACTGATATTTGGTTGTTATTTGATTCTTATATTCTGAACGGAAATTTTATGTATTTGACTTCTCTCTCTGTATCTCTAAATTATAATCCCTAATATCTCTTTAGTTAAGTCTCTTTGATTTGTTATCTAATGCATTTCCTAAAGATCATGGTAAAATTTATTTTTATCACTCAGTATGAGCATTGTTTAATGCGCCTGCCATTAGCTAGTATTTTGATTAGTGCATTTTCTTTTATTTGGTTTCTCTGCCTATGAATGAGAAGCAACCATAATCTACATGTAGTGAAGGCCAATTAGAGGGTCGCCCTTTCTAGCTGTGGTACGTCATATCTGACTGTCTTCCAATTTTTTTGGTGCAGATGGTTAGGGGTAAGAAAGGGGCAGCCCAAATCGAGTCTTTGGGTTCTGTTCTCTCGAATTGTGAGAGCCAAGACTTTAGTGATAAAGAGAGAGAGATAAGTACAGGTTTTTCTGGTGAACAAACCAAAGCCATGGCCCCCTACCACTTGATGTCGAAGCCTAAGTCGGAGTGTTTACCTGCAAGTTTTTCTATGGATTTTGAGAGAGAAGCCAATGGTCTCTCATTTGATCCACTTTTGCTTGACTTGAATCCAGACATGTCGTTTAACCGTCACCCTTAAAATATAGATTTTCTGTTCTTGTGGGGTTTCAAATTTCTTGTGGGGTTTCAAATCAGTCATGATTTTTTTGTGTGAAACAAATTTTCCTCCGTTGAGTTGTCTTTTTTTTGAAGTCTGTAAATTTACTTGTGAATAATACTTCATGGCATTGCTGAAAATTCTTGGATGCCTGATAATTGGTTGGAGCTTTGTATGCCCTGGCTGAGGAGCTTTGTGGCGATGTTCTTTGGCAAGAAAGCATGATATGAGTTGGGTTTGTTTCTATGGGGTTTTTTTTTTTTTTGGGTAATTCAATGGGGAAGATACGCCACTACCCTTTGCTTCATACGGATTAGGTAGTTAGCTTTTGTTCTATCATTCAATTTAATGTGTATTATTTTTCGCCCAAAAAAGTGGGAATGCTTTCAATAATGCTTCTCCCTCTCTCTCAATTGTATTTTTACTTTTTAACATAGTTGCCAAGACCGGACCATACAGGTGGGATTGTCAACCAGTCCTTTGGTCGGTTTGGTCCAGAGTAAAAATTGGGTTTGGTAAAAAATCAATCAGAATAAGTATTTGACATGTTTGACATTCGGTTTTGACCAGTTTGACTTTTCAAACCAAATGGACAATTTTTTAAAATATATTATATAATTTTAATTTTAATTTTTTTAGTTTTGTTAAAATTCAATTGAACTGATTCAACCTGTAGTTTAGATTGGTTTTGATTGGATTGGATGACTCCTTGGTTTGTTGCCTGATTCAATCTTGATAACTCATATTCTACTTTTGCTGATCAACCCTTGAATAATTCTTCCATGGTTGAGCTCTCTTAGGTTTTAACAAGCTGAGAGAGCCTTAAGAAATGCTACCATATCAGGTTTTGTAATCCGAAGCATGCATTTCATGGAAGATTTTGAGTGTTTCACTTGGGTAATTGTTGTGAAGGTAAGCTGATATAGTAGTGGTGGTACATGAGGTTAAGTTAGCTTATGATTTTAATTGAGAATTTGAGCCTGAGCCCAAACATCCACCAAATCGGTCCAAGTCTCTAGATAAACAACATAGAAGAGCTTGAGGCTTGATCGATTTCCCCACTTGTTGAAATTTGAAATGTAAAGATTTTAGAGGCTAACTGATTGAAATTTGAACAAGTGTGAAGGTTAGAATAGAGGTCATAGGTCAGTGTGAGAGTAGGGATTTTGTATGAGTTGTTGAAGAGTCTTGGAGAAAGAAGGGGAGCTTCTTTTGAGGGAACTTGCCTTAGCAATAGGCCCAGCCCGAAAGATCTTGGCCCAAGTTCCTAAAACATTGAGGCATTGACTCAAAATGAGTTGCGCTTTTTAAAGGGTAGACATCTGATAATTAATTTTTAAAAAATCATCAAAATGCATCGAATAGATGAAATATCAAATGCCTCAGTCGGAACTGCTCCCCTCAGTTTTTTGGGGTAAATTGAGTGGCCCTGGCCTTGGAGGCAGCTTTGGATAGGATCCTTTGAATTTATTTTATTTAATATTGCTACAAAATAGATGAGACGCTAAACAATTTATATTTTAAATGATCCTATTTGTATATGGTGTCAACTTTAAATAATCAAAGTTAAATCTTGCTAAAAAGATGCCATTTCAATGTCGCCTAAACATCTATTTTTAATGCTAATTCTGAAATTTAAAACTTTAAATGTGGTGTAGATCAAACAAAACTATAAACATTTAAGAATTTAAAAAATAGACGGTTTATATAATATATTATAAAATATACTGTTGTCAGAACTTTAAATTTCTATATTCATACCCTTACATCTTGAGGTTAAAATGATCAATTATACAATTTTTCAATGTTGGAACAACCTTACATCTTCGGTATAACATTGACACCATGTATGAAAGTTTCCTTTTTTAATAAATTTCAAAAAAGAAAAAAAATAGCGGCGGATTCCTCCTGTCTCTCTTATTTATTTCAAAATGTCGTGCCGTATCACAGCCCTATAAATATCTTCTCTCTCTCTCTCTCCAAGAAGTAGAACGGGCTTTTACTTCCCAGGTTCTCTCTCTCTCTAAGAAGAAGAACGAGCTTCTCTCTCTTTCTCTCTCTCTCTCCTCTCAAGTGATTGAAAAGCTGTTCGGAAACAGATAATAAGAGGTAGAACGGCTGGTTCAGAGGTCGAGTCCAGTCTTTTAGAGAAGATGAATCCATTTTAGGTCTTCTTCCATCTCCTGAAATGGCTTCATCATCGAAGTCATGGGCTTTTATTTTAAGTTTCCAACTATCAAAAAAAATAAAAGAAAATTGTGGGTCTTTATTTCAACCCCGTCTGCGAAATATTCTTAGTTCATTATCAAAGACTTTGTAAAAAAAAAATGATCCCAATTCTGATTGCAAAGTTGTAAGTGATTATAGTTGTGTCCATAACTCGTTAAAACCCTAAACCTACTTTCATCTTTTATTAGCAAGCTTCTGCTCGTGTCATTTATCAATTTCGTTTGATGGGAATTCCTTCTCACTGAAACCCTAATTTGTTATCTCTTCGATTTCAGCAGTCATAAGCTCCCATGGATCCTCCTCAAACAGAACCAGTAAGCTACATCTGTGGAGGTAAAGTCTGATTCTTCATTACAAACGCACGCTATGGATTTTCCTTTTTCTCCCTTTTTAACCCACTTAATATGATTTAGGGCTTATAAGGTCGGATTTATCCTAAATCAAACACTCACTATGATCTTCTTTTTTGTCCTATTGATATGAGCTAGGTCTTAATATCGCTTATTTTTCTGTTAAGGCTACCTTGAAAATTTAACTATCTTATTAAATTTCTTATGGAGATAATTTTGTTTGATTCATTTAATGTATTTGTTTTTTGGTTTTTTGTTTTGTCTTAGATTGTGGAGTCGAGAATACGTTGAAGCCTGGGGATGTGATTCAATGCAGAGAATGTGGTTACCGTATTCTGTATAAGAAACGCACCCGTAGAAGTATGATTAGTTCTTTCAAAACCTTCGATCAATAATTTGTTTTGCTTCGCAATTGTGGTTCATAGAACACAGGAATTGCCTTGGGTCTCTAGTTTTTAGCTTATTATTTAACTTCCGACTTGAGAATCTTTCCGAGTCGGACTGGATGAATCGGGATTGGGCCTTTGGCAATTAGGAGCCTGATCCTGATATTTGAAAGCACCAGTTTGAGTTACCCTTGATTAATAGTTACCCTTGAACGGTTTGATATTTTTTATTTTTTAATAGTAATATGAAAGTATATGGTTTACCATTTCTGTGATTGCAGTGTGGAAATTGTTCTATTCATGTCTTTGAGAAACCTCTATTTTTTTTTTGCATGAACGCATTAATTATTGGGTTATGTTGTCTTCTTTCCTTCTCTCTAGTTGGTTTATGGAGTTGAATAGAAGTGACTGATGAACTTTTTTTTGGTTGAGTTATATTGGTTTTCTTTATAGTTATTCTTCACAATGTTATATGACGGTATCTTTTTTTTTTTAATGGTTTTCTGTTTTTAGATTGTATAATATCTACTGAAATTTGTTACTTGATCTTCTATTTATAAATTTAGGGGCTTGAAGGGCAATTTCCTTAAGTCAATCACCCTCTGTGTACCAGTGTGCTTTAGCCATAGGTAGTGATGTGCTTGGATAGACAACATTGCGGATTACTTTTTTAGGTAGAGAGAATGAACTATAAGTTGGTGGGCACATGTTTTGGGGGCATGATAAGAGCTGATGCTATTGTTATTAGAGCATTTGAAAATGGGGGTTTGTTTGCAGTTTGGACACATCCTTAAGGAGAGTGTTTAACGGGAGGATTTCGCTTAAAATAAAATGGTTTATGTGAGCAAAGGTGGAGGGAGAACAAAGTAGTATGGGTTGATCATTTCGTAATAGATCTATTGATGAAGCTTTGAGCAGTAGTGAATGGCTATAATTCCTAATTTCTGAAGTTCTTACACACTCTTAAGGGATATAAATTGCTGCTTGGATCATAAAGGTAGGATCTTTTCGTGGACAACCGTCAAATGGTATTTGATTCGTGTGTTTTTGCTGTCTAGGATTTGAGTTGGTCGACTATATATTGTTTGAAATTTTTTCTGGGTTTTCTGTTTTGGGGGTGGGGATTAAGAAGTTGAAAATACGTGTAAAGGTAATATCATTTCAACTTTCTATTCCAATTCGTACTAAAACCATTATAGCACCAAGAAGGATTTGGAATTTTTTGGGTTTGGGCCCCCCTTGGGATGAAAAGAGGGATTTGGAGGGGGGGTTTGCGGGGTGTTTGGTTTGGTTGGATTTAAGATATGCTTAACGAAACTTAGGCATAGGATGTTCTACGTTTCAACTTTCAATTTCAATTCATACTAAAATCATACCAAGAAGTACTTGGATTCACTTGATGTATTTTGAAAACCCTTTGGTTTTTGTTCCTGATATCTTTTTATTTGAATCTGCAATTTCTCACAAATCTTGAATGTGTTCTATAAACCTTTAGCTGTCCCTCAAATGCTTCCAAACTTATTCAACACCTTCGATGTATACTTGGCAGCAACACCATCCCTAACCCCATTTTCTGCATTTCCTTCAAGGAAATGCACTAATTCTATATGGCATGGTGGTAGAATTAGAGACAGTTGCACTCTCTTATTTGTATGCTCATTGTAATTTGGCACCATGACTGACCTTCAATGGCTTGAGGTTATCTTGGATTTCGTTCTATCGTTGCTGCCTACTTTTTGGTACAGTTCTCTATGTTGTGAACATTGTATGTGTTATCTACTATAAATTATTGATTTCATTTTATCATTGCTTCCCTGCCTTTTTCTTTTTAATAGCAAGGCACTTTTTGTTACAGGTCTCTATGTTGCGGATTAGTTGTATGTGTTATCAACTATGAATTATTTATTGTCAGGGGCCTTAACTTCTCTGTATTTAATCTCCTTAAGAGTTAGGTTATGAAGTTTCTTTTTTTTTTGATAAATGAGATGCTAAGTTCAAATCATAAAAGTCATTTAAAAAAAATAATTTAAAATTGTAGAAGTATATCTGTTAAAGATGGGGAAAGGAACCTTGCTAATTGATACAACCATTATTTATATGAACATGATTAAGCTAAATAAACTCATCACCCTAGTCTTTAGTTGCTCTATTCAATCTGAATGCGTGGGCAACAAAGTAGTTTTTTGTTATTTTTGTGAGACTTTGTAGAATTTTGACTTGATCCTCATTTTTCTTCTATTTTTCAATATCTGCTACTTAATTTATATCTCACTGTCTTTGCAGTTGTTCAATATGAGGCTCGTTGAAGCTGTAATGGATTGGAATGTCTACCGGTGATCTCCAAATCTAGCTTTCAATGATAATGTCCGTTTTTCGTTTGTATACATAACTATGGATGAACTGTTTTTCCACAGAGAACTTAAGCCTAGAAATACTTACTGTCATTCATGTATGGAGCTGACTGAGCAGATGGTTGTATAGTAGAGAGTTACAGACTTCTTAAATTTCTCAGCATAGACCTCTCCCTCTATCTCTATCAATAACTTCTCTTTGTTTTTGTGAATGCTTTTATCCGGTGGCTTGCAAAATCCATGGTTACAAGTATTTGCTGATTTCTTAAGAAAAGTTGGGACTCTTGAGGGACTGGGTCAATCGGAGTTTTTGTGATTTAGGCGCAAAGCTTGGGCTGAAATTTTAAGAACTTGGGACTCTTGAGAGGCTAGGACCTTTGGGTTTTCTTTGATTTAGGCTCATATATATGCATTGGTCCTTGTAGACCTTGTTCTCCAAGATTCATGTAGGACCACCACCACCTTTGGACCACCTTCACGGACAGTAACGGTGGTCCATGGTTCGGATCAAAATCGGTCCTGTTCACTGGGGCGATGGACCATCTCCACCATCCAATATTTATGGGTGGTTTCTTCTCGTGATAATTTAATTGTAAATGGGAAACTGGTTTGTGCTTGATTGATTAGTGGTTTATAATTGCAACGCTATGGTCAAGTTCGATTCCTACCACACAACTCCAAAAAATAAAATAAAATTATGGTTATAAACAAGAGCAAAAAAGATATAAAAACCGTTCATACATGGCGATTTAGTAATTGTGAAGACGTTTTTTTGCTACTAAAAGAGAATACCCAATGCTGGATGGTCAATTTGAAATGTTATTGCCATTCCTGTGAGGGAAAAATATATGGCATTCGTTTTAATGGATTCTTGAGAGCCCAGTAATTGAAAGTTAAAGCGAAACCCCAATAGAATTTTGTAATGTATAAGAATCCTAAGAAATATTATTTGTTAACTCGTGGGTAAAGCCTTGCAAACCTCGTAGAGTTTTGTACTTTTAAGAGTCAAAAAAATATTATATGCTCCTAGATTGTACTGTCTCTCGGGTAAAAACCCCCATTAAAGAGGGTTGAGTACTGACTTAAAGACCCTAAACTTTAGGTTGTGAACTCTCAAATTTGCCACCATTCAAAGTTAAAAACCCATCTAAGAGTGTTGAAGGGGTACTTACGACCCAAAAAAACAAAAAGCCATCTAAGAGTGTTGTTGGAGTACTTTAGGCCCTAAACTGTTCACGTCAACTTTGCCACCATTCTTGACAGCAAAAAAGAACAAAAAAAAAAAACAAAACAAACATCAATAATTGTTTACTTTTTTTTTTTTGGGTAATTATATGAAGATGGCGAGCGCCTAACCATTTTGAAAATGGTTAGTGGTTTTTTAATGTATTAAGTGAAAATAGAAGCCTAAACCATAATTAAAGCACAAGTAATCCATTTTTTTTGTAAATCCTAGTTAATCACCTCAAGGAGGTCCTAAGTTTTCACCTGAGGGAGTAAGTGTACAGTTTGATGCCAAGGAGTACGTCATACACAATTAAGTAGTGACTCTCTCTCTCTCTATGCAAGGTACCACCATATGGGTGAGAAAACCACAAACTGTAGGTGACAAAACCACAAACTTTTGTATAATATTTTCCACTATATTTTCCCACACCACAATACTGATCACACCCCACAAATATGAACAACTTGAGCCCTTTAGGGCAAAGCTGTCCATCCAAGCTACTCACTTACAAAAAGATTACCTTTGTATCATACTCCTCTAAAATCTCTCCTAACCCAAGGAGAGAGAAATATCACTTTACCTTGCATTGCTCATGAACCAGAGAGAGAGTCACATCACTCTTGAATTGCTCCTCCTAAGCCACCACCTTCGCCTTGCCTTCTCGGCCTGAGCTTCCTCATTCCCGAGCTTATGCAGCACAGACTTGGTCTCTCGCAACCGTGAGTTGTAGTCCTTTTTCCATGCATCAAACAATCTCTTAAGCTTCCTCAACTCAATATCAGGGTCCAAACCAGCCTCAGCTCTACCCGATTTCACTTCCACTAAGAAATCAGCATCATCACCAAACACTCTCCTTCTCCCCTCGAATTCTTCGGCCAAACGCTCAATAACGCTAAGGCCAGCACTCATTTCTCTCTCTAGATGCCGAGAACCAGCTGCCTCTTCCTTCTTTTGCCCTGGAGAAATGCCAAAGTTCCACCCCTCGTCCCCCTCGAGGCTCCTCTTGGCTGAGGCCAATGTGGTTTGGAGTGAGCCCATTTGGTTTTGCCAAACTTCCTCCATTGATTTCATCTTGGACTCGTATTCAGACCATCGAGACTCGTATTGGTGGAGCTTCTGATGCAATAACTCATTCTCCTCGTCTTTCTCTCTCAAAGATGCCTCAGCTCTCACCACTCTCCTTTGGAGCTCAGCCAACTCCCATGCCTTCATGGTAATCAGTTCTGTGCCTGAATCCTGGACAACAATTTGTAACGACGGTCACATGTATTCTACAAGCATACGTGTGTCTATATATTTATAGGGAAAGGTCACCATCTTCCCAGGCCTCACATGTGAAATTGAGCAGCTGGGGTCTACCATTGACTGTTCTCAAAATCCGAGAAACTTTTTCTTGGACTTTGTGCAGAGAAATGACCACCTCCCAGCAGCCCGATTTCAAGTGTGATGACTGAGGTTATTAAAACAATCCCATATAAATATCTATCTACATATTTATCCACATATGCCCATGCATGCACGGGTACATCCATGTCATGCATAAAGGAGGTATACATTAGCATATGCACGTGCATCCTACGTGCAGACATGGTTATGACAATCACACATGATATAGTGTTCAAGGATACATATAGACTAATGCATGCATATGTAGATACGCATAGGCATAATACACGAATGCACAATTCACAAATCCATTGTATGTCTTTTTCTGCATTTCCTTGTCTTCGTGATAGTTCGATATCAGATTACAATCACCATGACAATCAAAGTTCATAAACCAATGAAATTTAAAGGGATGGTGAAAAGAAGAATGGAAATTTAAAATACCTTTAGCCCATTCATTTTCATGGTTAACTCGAGCAAACTAAGATTTCCAGAGCATCTTCTCACCAACCATCCGCGAATTACTGTAGAAAAGTTACAAACCAACAAATAATTAGAGATAGAAAAAGCATACTCTTACATAAGCTCTATAACTACCTGTAATGCTCTATACCTGCAAGGAAAACCTACACAAACTAGTGCATGCATGAGCGAGAGAGAGAGTTAGAGAGAGAGAGTGAGAGAGAGGTGCGGTACCAGACTGTATCACAACTGCTGCGTCACGGTAATCAGTGAAATGTTTTTTAGCAACCTTCCTCTTCACTTCCCTCTGGATAACGACAGCTGCCCTATGTCTCCTTATTAAAATCTCGTACTCCCTTCTTGCTCGTTCACCCCTCACAACTAAAGAAACAGATTTAATTTTTAAACTTCAACACGATATTCATATGCAGAAACGAAAAAGTCAATGTCCAACTATGAAATGGAAAGAGAGATACATGATTGTAGTACTGCGACTCCTTTCTTGAGCTCTTGGAAATGGCCGCGAACCTGGTGACCTCTAAAACATTTCTGCACCCCTAAGATGCCATGTAGTGTCCGGTTTCTTGTGTCTTCAAGAACTCCAATCTGCAGCTCAAAATCAGATGTAAGGGAAACATTAATTTATTTTGCAATTATGGTTCCTTGTGGCAAATATAATGAATCAAGTGAACCATATTGGACAAAGAAGATAGCGTACAAGAAAATATTATATCTCTCTCTCTCTCTCTCTCTCTCTCTCTCTCTCTCTACAGTCTGTGAGAGATAGCACTGAGCATACCTGTCCCGTTCGGAAGAACAATTTTGTATAACCAACTTGATACATATCAGGGAGAATATTGAACTGGTGAAGTATTGCAACAGAGACACTAAGGGGATCCCGAGATGCAACATCCTCCAAAAGAAGAAAACCATATCTAAAGAGAAGTAGATTAATAAATTTCCTGGAAATACTGATATTGAGAACTAAATTTTTGGGGCATTCTTTACTTTTTTGGGTAAACAGAGAGAAAAACAATACCATAACTTACCTTCTTGCAAACTTTTGGTGAGTCATTCGTGTAGGATAACCAGATCTTGATATCCGAACAACTTCCAGGACTCCACAACATTTTAATTGCTGTAAGACAAGACCCTGTTCATAGATGCCAGGAAGTTGCATGTTGTTTGGTTTAATACAACGTATGAAATGGGGTGTGGTGCTTTCTAGACGCTGCATCAATCTGAATAGTTGACCCTAAAAGCCAGCATAAAGAGGTTACCACATAAGGCCTAGCAAATGTCAGTAAATGAAAGCTAAATGTCCTCTAAGCGTATCACTAATGTCCACATTATATGATCGGTTTTTTGAAGTTTTACTTCAAAATTTTCCAGTCATACAGGCAGTTTTATTGGGAATGCTTATCTCCCTTAATCTATCTGAATAGAAAGAATTGGCTGATGTACTAATACTCATTCAAGAAATTGTTGATTACCCTTCATATTTTCAATATAGCATACCCAACTAAGGAATCTACCTTGAACTTTGTAGCAACACTCTGTCTTTGAAGATCTACTCCAGTGGACCTCCATAATTGACCTGATGACTTCTCCGATTGGTTAAGCATATTGGCCGCAAATACCTGAGGAAGTTTGTATCTGCAGGATGATAGAAGCTGAATTGAATCTGAGTGTAGTAAATCCCTGTTCTTCTCAAGAAATCCACTTGTGTTGTATAAAACCTAATCAAAGAGACAATTTAGCCATCACAGTTGTGACATGCAATGCCAGAATACTTATTCAAGTAATATATATACATATATGTAGCAACCTCTCCTGCATAATGGGCAACACCAAATGCTTTGCCTCTTTCTCCTTTGAAGCACGCATTAGAACTTAGGTGCTGCTTGAGCTTGTTTGCAAAGGTCAAGTCAGTGCCATTTGGAAAAGTCGACTCTTCATCCAACAAGGAAAGTAAGCCCAATGGTTTCTGCAGTGTAATATGTAAAGGGGTCATCTATAGCACCTGGAGTAAAGTTATATTCACGTTTTCTGAAGAACTCAATTGCCATGCAAATCATCAGAAGGCACAAAGTACAAACAGCAAGAGGCTGCTTTTTGACAAAGGAATGTTGGGTATGGGCATCCGAAGCAACATGCCACAAATCACTATAATAATAATAAAGTATGACGTTATCTTATCAATAATAGACACCATTTTAAATAGTTTGTGAGTACTTTATCTAAAATAAATATCATTAACCTATTTAAAATAAATATCATTAAACTATTGAAAATAAATACCATTAACCTTATTTGAGCCACATTTTTAATCACCAAAATCACTCTCTGCAGCCCAGGATTACAGAGTAAGAACTTAAAAACCAGAAAATGTTTTCCAATACAAAGTGAAAAGATAAAGAAAACAGGGATCACGGGGTTGGTATGGGTTCCCACTTCCATTTGATTTACATAAGTAAATATGTCAAGGTGCAAGCAATGTTCAAAAATGTGGATTCGGGCGCCTAGGCGTTTTGGGCCCTCACCAAAATTGAACCCCTCAGCCCCAAACCAAAAAAAACAGGGGAGTTCTTAGGGCATGTTAAGTCTTTGAGAGTTTTTAGGGCAATTTTAGAGCCCCAAACTCCTCGTGAAATATACGAAAATGAAATAGTACAATCACATAACAGATTTACGGATACATGTCTCAAAAAGATTGTAACTTGTAAAACATTAAAATGCTTGAAATCCCAAATATCATTGTAGGAAGCTAGAAGTCTAGATTAGAAACGATACACAAAGTCAACAAGGCAAAATCAAAAAACAAATATATCAAGTCATCAACCAAACATGTAAATATATGGTAAAAGAAAAAAAAAGGTAAAAAAAAATACATGATTCGCAACATAATATGTTGTAGCAAAACAAAATCAAAATCAAATCGATGATTTTGAATTATCAAAATATGATACTTTAAATATGATGATACTCTTTCAAATATGATGATACTTTAAAATTATCAAAATCAAATCGATGTCGGTGCAAACTTCGTCTATTGGCTCACCAAAAGTCATCAAAATCAACTACTAGAAGCTCTAAATCCACCCACAAACCATTCCCTTTGTTTTGGGAAGAAATCGAAAAAACTCAAAACTTTATCGAGGGGGTAGTTTTTTGGGAAGTTTTCTCATCCTAAAAGCCACGGTTTTTGTTTGGGGGTTTAGAATACACCCAAAGCCCTTTTCCCCCCTTTTTAAAGGGAAAAATGACATTTTTTTTTACCCACACCGAGTTTTTTTTTGGCCCTTCCGCAAACTGTCACTGAGAGACGACTTGCCCGCCTAGGCGGGCACATGGAGACAGGCCGCATAATTCCACCACCTAGACAGCGCCTAGGCGTTTGTTGAAATTTTTCGCCTGGGCGGTTGGGCGGAACACTGGGTGCAAGAGAGAAGCCCCTTCCGCTAATAATCAAAGGGTGCTAGATTCTCATACAATATAAAGCAGTTATCTAGAAAACAATAAATGAACAAACTTCAACAGGCATCATAGGATATGGACAACACATACCTTCTCAAAGAGATTCAGGCAATGCTGATTATCTTCAAAGTCAACTTTTGTCCAGTCAATGCCATCTTGGATATATTCCTGTAATGAAGCCAAATGCATGTCATCAAGAAAAGTTGATAAGAACTTGTGCTGGCTACCTAGTATCAGCATTGGATTTGAAAAAGTAAAGGATCTATTGTTTGAGGACAGGAAGTTCCTCTCCGCAGTATTTGAAAAGATCTAGATTTAGGGACTATCATTTTAATCAATGTTCATACACGGCCTTGTCAGAGGAATTCAAACATGCCCTGAGTAAGATTAATATTCCTGAGTGAGAACAAGATATAACATCACAGGTTATGGCCTGTGCATCAGAAATTTAGTTGTATTCACGATTAAATGGACAATGTCGTTTAGAGGATTCTAGGTCATTCTGTGTTTTGGATTAATAGAAAATATTGGAATTAATAGAAAATATTACCTGTACAAGAGCCATGAGTCCATTTAAACAATTAAACATCTAACTAGAGTTTCAAGATAAGCAAAAAAGAATTCATAGAATCATGATGAATATCCTAGTAACTGTAATTAGATTATAGAAGTATCTATTCCTTCCAAAAAATAATTTTGGAACGAGACACAGGGCCATAGAATCACACACTACTACAAAACAAGTATCAGAAATGGTTTGGTCTTTGTAATATTTGCATCAAATAATACACTGATTAAATACCTCTTGTTCCAGCTTGAACAAGTGTCGATTGAAATGTTGCTGCAGTCTCTCATTAGCATAATTTATGCAAAATTGTTCAAAGCTATTTGTCTGCAAAGTGAAACACTATTATTCAGAATATAGTTTCATGAATGCCCAATTCAAAATTGAAGCTTAGAAAATGACATACATGAAAGGATTCAAAACCATATATGTCCAAGATACTGATGGATCTGCCTGTCCGCCGTTTTCCAACTTCCAGTGACTTGTTTATCTGCTTCACTAGCCAGTCAAACAAACTGGCATAGATCGATTTCGCTAATGCATCCCTTGTGTCGGTGGCCTATACAGAAGAACATAATTAGAGAAATTTATACTGGCCATAATAAGAAACATGAATGGTCAGAGCTTTCTTTTCATATATACAATTAACTTCTATAGATATTTTGAGAATTGTTACATGAGGCAAAAATTCTAACCTGTGGCAATTTTAGCTTCTGAACTATAGCGTCATTGCCAGCTTGGATTTTACGAGTAGACAAGGCTAAAACAAGGTTGTCAACACTACATCCAATCAAGTCAGCAGCATTCTTCAAAGCTGAAAAACAAAAATAAGATCTAATATGGGATCAAAGAAGCAATAAAGGAGAACAAGTTTATCAAAACATTAATTACTCGAATTCAAATGCATCTAATGAACTCTTGAAATTCACAATACCAACTGAACAAAAGAGTCAAACTGTAGTATAGCTTTTACCGCAACACTATCATGAAGAAATGGCATCTTAATGTGAAATTTTATTACTCATAAATGGAACACATACAAAATTAGATTTTATGAAAAAGATAGGGAGAGATTCATGTGTAAGGGCCAGGTAAGTCATAAAAGGTATTCCCCAAAAAGTTTTAAACACTAACCAAAGATCAGTATAAAAAGAAGGAAAAATTAGACAAGAAGATTTCTGAGAAGTAAACTCGATGTACACCTAGAAGCAAATTATTGCACGCATTGTTCACTTCTGTGTATATGCAGAAAAGCATTAAGTTGTCCCAAGGCATGATTCACTAAAAGGGTTCGCTAAGTTAATATAACTTTTACATTTGTAAGATTCATGTAACAGTTACAAAATAAGAGGATCATCCAAGGCATAAAAAAAATTAGTACTTTGTGGAACAACAGATGCATCAAGAACATAAAAACATTTAGTACAGATGCATCAAGAGCATCAAAAGCAGCAAATTCTAATTAGGAGTAGGGGCATCCTAATTGGAATCCATGTTGAACCAAAGTGACAAGTAGCTCATGAAATTTCACTAGTTTAAGGCTGTTCAAGTTCAGAAATGAAAGAATGTGATTAAAATAATTGAAGTAACATAATCAATAAAGAGCTGAGAATAAAAATTTCAAAAAGCTTTAACACAGAAACAATGAGACTTGTACCTTCATCTGAAACTACTTCAACATGGTTCTCATTATCAATCACTTGAAATGAAATGTTTCCTAGCCAGAGGACTGCAGCAAGCATTGTAAATGCATTATCCTGATCCTCTTTACTAACATGAACAATGTCTAAGGCTTCCTGTTTAAATAGTTGGATATCAATAAATAACTAGAAACTAGAAAAGTCCCAGAAATTCATCTCAAAGAATTATAGGGCAAGAATGGAGGTTACCATCAATGTGCAAAAATTTTTGGCATCATCAACACCATCAATTTCAAAGCATGTGCTCTGCTTCAAATAATTGTATTCATTAGCACTCTTCAACCTCAGTTTCCCTGCCAAGCAACATAAGCTAAGATGTTAAAATTGGAGCTTTCTACACAAATTTCCAAGGGAGAGAAATATAGTAAAGAATCACATAACAATAAGCTGATCTTAATATGCATTTACCTCAAGGAACGTTATTTAGCCATGAAGATAAAAAAATGTACACAAGGGAAACAGAGTAGATAGCAGTGGTTCACATTAATAGAAAAATTCATTTCAATTATAAATAGGCAGAGAAGAACATGGTGTGGTCACAATTCCAGACCAGCCACTTTGAACTTATTAGCCAAGCTAAGTGACCAAAGGACTCATATCCAGTATGATGCATCTACAAAATGGATAAAGTGGTCCTACTTACGGAAATGAAGAGTACCATGCAGCAGGATAGGATTCAAGAACCAAAAAACAAAAAAAGAAGTGTGGTACAATATATAGTTTGATTGTCGTACAATTACTTCACCATGAATCAAGGAACCATAGAATTGCATAGAAACCATCACGAAGGTTAATCCGATGGTGTATATGGAGAAAAACATATTTCTTGCTTTGCAACAAAAGAAATCAGTTGGCACATTTTTTTAACTGGGTGAGAAGTTTAATATACCTCTAAGAGCAGGAGGAGCTCCAGCACATAGCTGATAAAAAATGTGATAAGACCGTTCTCCTTCTGTGCATTGAACTACTCTGGACTGTTCATGGGACATATGTTTCAGAAATAGTCTAGAGTATTGGAGGACAAAACTGCATAACATGAAAAGGAAGTAAAAGTACCTTCTCAAGCAGAACTGCCGAATTCAGAGATGATTTTCCACAAAGAAAACACAATATACAGTAAAAATTAGTTTTCTGGTTAAGAACTGTGAACCATTCATTACAAAAGGATTTGGCATGCATCCCTAAAATATTCAATTTGATTAAAGTGATCTTACAGGTTTGAACATTGGCACCAGAAATTTTTCCAGTCACGCTGAATTGAATTTCAATCAGCTTGCCCTGCAAAATAACAAGCTCATGTTCATGAGACCATAATCTTGACAGATAAACTTCTAATAGGCCATACAGCGAAGAAGTTGTGTTTCAAAAAATGAAAAGCATAGTAATAGAATATCTTTTTAATTGTGTCTGCAGATATAAATCGCACTCACAAATCGACTAGAATTATCATTTCTTAATGTCTTTGCATTTCCGAAGGCCTCCAGTATTGGATTAGTCTGCAAAATTTCATATTCAATTCCACTTCCACCTCCAAGTGCAGCCAAGTACTGCATTGCAATCTTTGCTGTCTCAGTTTTTCCTGCCCCACTTTCACCACTGTACATCACAGATAGTTCAGTATGCATAGATATGTAAGAACCATAGGATTGTATAATTTTACATAAAGAGATGCTTATCAAATTATTGAATATGATATTGTCATAACACGTAATAGTATTAACTATTCATTGCTGCAAATTACAAATATAGGTTCCTGATGTTTATAAACAAAATGAATGTTGTTAAATTTTGCAAAAGTTATGGCACCAGACTTTATCAAGCTAAACTGAAAATACTTTATGTTCCCGATTAAAACAATTACAAATGAAAGAAACAATACAATAAGACTTCAGAGAATCATTCAAGGATCACAGCTACATAAAAGCAACAGAAGGAAAGTGCATGCAGATAATGGGAGTGGCTAGTCAAATTGAAATTATGCAAAATTGAACTAGACGTTCCACAGACTAGAATACAACCTTGATCAAATATCTTAGAATTTGAGTTGTCAAAATAAAAATAATTCTCAAAGACCAATATAAAGGTGAATGTCCTTACTATCTTAAAGCAAAAGGGATCTCTTGTAAATCAAATAATGCAACTGACACAATAGAAGGCCACTATCGTGGATCGATTGTAAAGCAAGCAATGCATATCAAAGCCTAGAAAGAATTTACTTACGCAAAAAAAAAAAACCTAGAAAGAATTTTGAGACATGACATAATTGGCAGTTCACTACAATACCATTCTGAAAGCCAATGATCCTTGAGAAAAATTCCTTCTTTATATTTTTCTTTCTTTTATTTGTTTAATTTGAGGCAGAAATTCCTTCTTAGCAGTTTTATAAAGGAACCCCAGCGCAAGTATACCATTTTGATTCTAGTATTAATACAAACAAAAATGAGATAATTTACTGATCAAGAGCATGCACTTTAATTGGATTCAGATAGAACTAACCTTATAATAATTGACTGATTCACTTCATCTGCAAAAAACAGAGAACCAAAGCATCATCAATTACACTTGCATGAAAGTACATTGAAAGATCTAAAGTAAAATATCATGCCAAGATGTGAAGGATTCATAAGGCTACAATCTTCCAAGGAAAAGAGTTTTAAAATCACCTCTCATCATTTCACGTATAGCCAAATCTGCTATGGCATAGACATGAGGATCATCCATCTTCTTCCTCCTATACGCTTCAATATAATCATTTCCATAATAAGGGACTGCTTTAAAAGGATTGATTGCAACCAAGACTGGACCTGCCTTAGTCTATCAGTAAAGCACATACACAGATGTTGACAACGTGGTTAATAAACAGGCATGCATAAATAAACAGAAATCGATGATAGACAAATAACTAAAATCTTCACAAAAGCTCACATATATCATGTCCTGGGAATATCTGTATTGAAGATTGTGCAAAACTGATGGCTCATTTAGATAACTAAGTTGCATGAGATCATTAACACCCACGAGAATATCAGGATTTGCAGGTAATAGATATTCAGGATGGACATTCACAACCTGCAATCATTAAATGGGAAGCAATGATAAGTAGTGTAACAATGACATTGATAGTGTAACTTCTCAAATTAATCAGTTGTTGCGCTTACTTTTCCATTCATTATTATGGTACACTCTTCCTCTGAAGTTGACTGCACTGTTCCTAGTTCCCATTGGCCATTCCGAAGTTGACACCAAACCCGAAGCTTCTGAAAGAAACAACTTCAACGAGTAGGTCTTGGGATCAATTAGCATTTTATTGGTTGCACTAACACCAATAATTTGCACCAAAGAAATAATAGACGGTATATATGCACTTGAAGTATACATAATCGTCAAACCGAGTCTTCCAGAAAATATTACATCATAAAATAAGTAGATATTGCAACCAATTTCAATGCACAAATGTTCAGGAGCATACACACACTACTTTTCCATGGTCCATGATGAACTCAGATATATGTCAACATGGGGACAGCAATCTAGTTGAACTTGAAATGCAACCTAGGATTACACATTTGAGGAAAAAGAACCCAAATTTGAAGGTCTTTTATAAAAAGAACCCAACCCAAATAAAATCTAGATAAAGAAGCATTAAACCAGATCGATAATAAAGACCATACCTTCTTCCCACCATAAACACTTTTGTCGCTCCACCTGCATTCATCTAGCGATGGAAGGAACAATTGTGAACCAGAAACAGAATTCTCATCATTTTCTGAAGAAACTTCAGCAAGCTTGCTCATTTTTGTTCTATATGGTGAATCCTCATCATTTTGATCTGTTTCGCTCACAGTTTCCATGCCCTGACTAGACAACACATCTTCCTTTGAATACCCACCATTCTCATAAAGATCTGAAACCTTCTCAGAGTTATAGGGATCACCTCCTTCACTATGTTCAATAGGATGAAACCCAGTTGAATCTGCATACTTAAAATCAATAGGCAAAGATTTTAGGGCCTGAAAATCTTTGGGCTTCCGTTCGTTTTCCATGACTGAAACTTGCATTTCCTTACAAGTAACTTATCCTCTTCCCAAAGGAATTATGGCTGATGCTGCTAAAAAAAAATACCAAAATTACCAATGAGAAACCTTAATAAGAGGAGCAAGCAAACTTTGAAGAAGCCTCTACCATTTCACATACTATGATGGGAAATCTTCATACTATCAGAAAAACCTCCCTTTCCATAAGACCATAACCCAACAACCAATGCATATGCAGTGGAATCAATTATGTTCAGTTGTGCTTTGATTTATCCAAATCCAACTGTGATCAATTGGACAAAGAATCATAAATCTGATATAAAAATAGACATCACACTACAATACCATTGGAAACTAAACTTGGTCGCTTTGAGTAAATGAGAATAAAATTAAACTAGGTCCAGATATGTTTAAGTGGAGATGCTTGGACCTTCAAAAATTCCAAGCAGCCTCCACCATAAAACAGGTCTCTCTTCCCAGAAAACTTTGAAATTCACACCAGGGAAATTGAAGCCAGTGATTACCTCATAACATCAAACTATTGAATGCCCACAAAACCCTAGAAATGGAAATGTATCCTTTGGCTTGTGGATCTTTTACTGAAACTCTTCAACAAATATCCAGCTTTCCTCAGACAAAATAAACCTAGAGCAAGTATCACAGGTAACCTTGAAATCCTAAAGCCAGCTAAAAAACCTTAGGTGCCTAATGGTGACCCTAAATCACACTTCAACTACACAGAAACACTTCACTGCATCAAAATGTCCCTTCTTCGACTGATCCTTGATATTAAGAATAAATTCAGAACATAACAAGAAAAATGAAATTCAACAGAGAAGTATTGAAGGATATCAGCAAATTCCTTCTTTGCTAATTGATTAAAGAAACCTCTGAAGTAATACCATATTTTGACAAGAATAGTAAAATCAATGGAAAATGAATCCAAGTCCTTTCACTGAATTGATCCTTGTCCAAATATTAGTGAGTCCGAATATTAGTGAAGCTTCAAAGGCAATAACTTCACTTACAATACCAGAAAAATGGCTTCAATTCTTCATAAAGAAATCAGAGCTTGAGAAATTAGAATCCTACTCTTTCTGCAACTTGATCCTTGACCCAAACAAACCTTTGAAGCTTCACAAACACATATTCCACTAAAAAAAATCACGAAAACCTCATAAAACATATAAAAAACTCGAGTTAGACTCCTTCCACGCATCGATCTTCCAATACTATACTTTCTCAAGCTTTGCACACACGGCTTTCAGCTTCTAATCAATCACTGCACAGTAACCACCATTAAACCGCAGTAAAATCTCCTCGAGCTTCAATACAAGCCCTAAAAATCGATATTTGCCTCAATAAACTATAAAAGCTTAAAAAAAAAAAACGATTTCACCCGTCAACTGATTATAAAGCAACAATGACCATTAAACCCTAGCAAAAACCACAGAAAAAATCAAATACATCTCTCTCCAAACCTCACAGTGAAATCATTTGAAGGTCAAAAGAGTTGTTCTCTCGTGTACGGAAACTGCCAAGTTTTAGTAAAAAAAATTTTGAGTTTTCAGAGGGTTTCAGATAAAGTCATTTGTAATGAGAACCCTCGAATTTTAAATACGTTTTTTTGTCAGGAGGGAAGGTTAATTAGTTTAAGCCATGTTTAAATATAAACCGTTGGATCATGAAACGAGGGAATGAGATTGTCCGATGACATGCACACCGAGTCTCTTTGGCGTAAAGCCGGCATACGGGGCCACAGCTCGTCTTTTTGGGGTTGTCGTTTTAGGAATCGAATGGAGTCGTACGGCGGCTTGACTCGGATCGGCTTGATAACTTTCTAAAACTAAATAGTACTAATATTAAATGGGATTGTATATAGTAAGACCATTAACTTTTCTTATGTGGAGGTCATAATTGCTTATAACCATCCGATGTAAAATTTGATAAAGTAGATGTGTCACGAAATTAAAAAAAAATATTTTAGATTTTGAACTTGGTAATAAAATAATTACAGCCATCCAACATCACATTTAGTGGTCAAGATCAATTGTGATCACTTTGTACCAAGGTAAATAGTCTCATTGTATATTTTTTCATATTAAATATGGATAGAAATAGAAATTTGAGATTCGAAATTTGAAATTTTGGCGAATTTATTTCACTGATGGTTTGTGAGTTGAGAAAGAGGAAAACATAGAGATATATTATTGGGCATTTATTTTCTTTCTATTTGTTTGTTTGTTGATAACGCTAGTGGTACACTTTTTTGGAATTTTGGAAAGGTATTTATTATTATTTCACTAAATGACAAACAAAATCTTGAAATTTTGAAAATGAAAAGTTGACTTTCTTATTGCATACTAAAGAATTTTATTTTTTTATATTTCTTTATCTAACAATTCCAACTACTTCTTCTATTTGTATGAGTGATTTAACAAAAAGATCTGTGGCTTGGATTGTGCATCACAAAAACTGGTATAGATAAGTGAATTGACGGTCTGAATCGTTGTTTTACTGTAAAAAATAATAGTCAACCAGCAAAACACCCTTCGAAAAATAGTGAATTAAGTAAATACCAGTGCGGATTGATGAATCGGCATTTTTACTGTAGCAAAACATTATTTTTATTGTAGCAAAACACTATTTTATTGTAAAAAATCGTCGGTTCTCTTTTACACTTGGACGATTTCTTATTTATTAACAAAATCCACACGAAATGACTGATTCATGGATCAGACTAGGCGATTCCGAGCTGACCCAGAGTTTTTTCAATCACAAATTTGTATGATAAATTAAGGTTTCTCTTTACCTAAGACATAAGGAGATTCAAGGAGGGAGCTAATATATTATGCTTAAATAGAAATGGTTTTTTTTAATTTGTGACATTATTATGGTTTAATTCCCAATTATCTGATTAAGATTAAATAGTTGTGTATCTCTAGATCTATACAAATAAGGCGTATGTAGAGACAAAAAAAAGCCCACCTATTATTAGGATAAGCTCTTTTGTGTCTCCACACTCGGAATAAAGCTCACTAAAATCCCTCTAACTTTATAAAAAAAAAAAGTTTACAGTCCTTTGATATTAAAAGGAAGTTGATAATATTATCAACCATTAACTATAATTTAATAAAAATAATTAGCATAAATTAAGCGTATAGTTGTCATCTTACTCCCAATTTTTTAATAAAATAACACAATTAAGTACCTCTAAGTACGTATAAATTATATGCGTCAACAAGCATGAAAAGCTAACCCACGTATTTTTAAACTGAAGAGCTCATTTGACAGGGAGAAATGTACATGAAAGAAAAATGAAAATTATATGAAATTGATAAAATTGAAGAAATAGCAATTACACATAAATTTTAGGGGGAAAAGGGAAAATATTATGAAAATAAACTTGACATGAAGAAAAAACACAAGGAAAATTATAAAGGAGACAACCTGTGGCATTTTAGTTGCAAATGGATACGTGGCTCTATTGAAAGATGCAGACATGATGGTTTCTCTAACCAAAAGATGATACTCCTTTCCACACTTTACCTAACTACCACTTACCCTTCCTTCCTCATTGCTAATTTCCCCTTATTTTTCTTTAAATAAAGAGCAAACTCTTATTTTATTCTATGCAACTACCATACAAACTTCAAAAATAGGGCTGTAGCTCTATCAAACTATCAAAATAAGTAAAACCTCACTTCATAAGTCATTCAAAATTACTATTCAAACATTGAAAAACTTTTACATCAATCATCTCGGCTTGAACATCATGTTTGTGAAGAAAATTAACATTTAAAGCTCTAAAAATAGTGTAGATTGCAACAAATTATCTACGCCATTTATTTCGCCCTTAAAATAAGTGTACATAGATCCACAAGATTTGTACTAGTTTTTTAGTTTCAAAATTTATTGTCGGTGTTGAAAATTGATTTTAGAGCCATCATAAAGATTTTCGTTGCCAAAACTGCTTTCCATACAAGGATTTTAGTTGAGGCTTTATTTTGTTTTCATAAAGCCTAGGCCTTATAGAAACTTCCTCCTTCAAAACTCTAAGGTAAAATAAGATAGGACCCCATAATATATCATGAAGAAACAATTATGAAGAAGAAACAAGAGCTTTCTTAGTTGGTTTCTTATTAATTTAGTCCCTAGCTTACCTGTTATTCAAATGATCAATAAATTTTCAAAAAAATGGCCACACAAGACAAGTTGATATCTAATTTAATATGGCACATGCAAACCTAGACACATTGAATAGCATGAGCTTTACTCCTTTTTTTTTTTTTACTATCAAAAGATTGTATGCTCCGTCAGGTGTATGCTCCTACTCCTGTAAAAAACCTATCCGTAGGTCCCCAATTTTTTTGGAATGTAACGTCCTCTGCCTATCTACTAACCTAAAAAGAGGGAAAGAAAGTGCATTTGAAAAAGGGAAATTGTTTCATGCGGCAGGGACCACATTTCTACATTTGGGGTCCCTTAGGTATAAAACATCCATCTTAAAGATGGATGCAAAGAGGTGGTCCATCTAAAAACAATTGAAATTGAGGGTTCAAATGTTTTTTTAATATAATTTTTTTTATATTTATGATCACCATGTTAGAAAAAAAAAAAGAGATTATATGTCCTTAAAAATTAGGTCAAAAAATCCATCTCAAAAATAGATTTTTAAGAGGTGACTCATTTCTACATGAACTCATAAAAAATGTGTCCCTTGAAAAAAAAAAGGGATTATCTACAAAAATATCATTTATCTTTTATACATGGAGGTCACAATTATTTCTACTCATTAAATGTCAAATTGGATGGCTTGTGGTGGGTCACGAAATTCAAGATTTTTTTTTTCATTACAGAACTTGATGTCTATTTGAAATGCAATGGACAAGAATGATTGTGACCTCTATATAAAAAAAGATAAACGGAATGTGAAAGATTTGATCTAGGTGTTTAAAAAATAAAAATTAAACTTTTCTTAAAAATGCTCATTTGGTGATTCTATAGAGGAGCCCAATAGATAATATGTTAGATCAAGAAAGTAATCCTAATTTAAGTCTCTTGCCTAATGGAGTAAGTTGTGTACAATGTGCTCCCATAAAAACATCAGCGATGTAATTGTTTAGAACTTTAAATATAAAATTTATTGGTTATTATGTCTTGTATTTTATACATTAGAAAGTCAGTTTATAGTTGTGGAATTATTGTCTTCAAAAGGTAGATGCGTATGGCACTTGATATCTTGGTAGCATCTGAGGACCTTCCTTTTCCTTCTTTTCAGAAGAATGAATGGATCAAAAATTGGTTGTCAAAAGGCTTCTAAAGAAGTAAGATTTTGTTATGGTGGGCCTGAGGACTTGATATTGCATGCCTTAAATGCTACTCTAACACTAATAATTTTCCAACCCAACTTTGGGTGGAGCTCATTAACTCCATAATTAATATACTCTCAAATAATCTCTCTCTTTACCTCCATAATTAGTATTCTCTCAAATAATATTTCTCTCTCTAAACTAATTTCCATCACTCTCAATAGGCCTTTCCCCATGCCCCGAGGCCATATTAGGTGACTTTCGGGCTTGGGTCGGGTCTCAATTTTGCGGATTACATGCACTTATATCACCCTTTCATAAAATGCCACGTTTTCTAGCATCGAGTTCGAGTTGATTGAGGGTCATATGCCTCCATGACTGAAAATCAAAGGTATTGGGCTCACACCTGTATATGTTCCCTCCAGTAAAAGTCTTATTAGGACCATCCTCCGAACCCAAAATTCGGGGGTTGTAACCTTCTATAAGATTGAATTTCAATAAAAATAAAAAAATATATATCTTACACATTCTATATGTGGAAATAATCATGTCCTAAAATTGGATAGAGATTTGTCCATATATATATATATATATATTGAGGAAGTATATTTCATATTGTCAAATCTAAGTGTTTAGAAACTCAAAATCCAACTTTTTTGTTTTTAAAATCACTGATATGGTGATTTTGGAGTGGATCCTAATTACTTCTCCTGAACATGCCGTTTACACGAGAAAAAAGGGTATAGGGTGCTCCTATAGGAGTGCACAGTACACGCACATGTGATCTAAAGTTTTTTATATTTGTCGGACTTATCACACTTAAGCTATCAGATTTCACATTGAATGAGTATAAATAATTATGACCTGTTTGTACCAACGGTAAATTTTTATTCAATCTCTTAATATTTTGTGCCGTGAGCGCTCTTAGGGTTTATTTCTCATTTCATGGTTCCTCCTCTTTTTCCCATATTTGAGAGAGGTAGGCAAGAAACTTGAGCCTAATTAAATGGCATATCAAATGAGACACATAGGCTGAAAATGTCAGCCTTCAAAGACTTGGAAAAAGTCTTAGGCCATGTTATGGCCAAGTCCTTTTATCATTATGGACACGCTTTTCACCGGCAATCCAAGAAAATGAGGCCCAGCTGTCATGGCCCAATAATGCTTTCATAGTTGTGGAAGTCCCCATACGCTATCCAATGTGCCTTCTCTTTTCTTAAGCTTTTTCATCCAACACCATGAATTGTGACTATCAACCAACCCTTACATATTTGCCATTTT